CTGAGCCCGCTCTCCACAGGCATCGGGCGTAGCACGGCGCTGGCGCTACACGCGGCAGGCGCGCGCGTGGTGGCCGTGAGCCGCACCCAGGCCGACCTGGACAGCCTGGTCCACGAGGTAGGCGCTGCTGGCCGGGTCATCGGGTCCCCCCTGACTTGGAGAGCGGGAGTGGGGCGGGACCGGGGCGGCCGCACAGCTCCACCTCCTGGGCTGGGCGTCATGTGGGGCCCGCTAGGAACCCGAAGCCTGCCTTCCCCGTGGGTGGTTAGGCCCCTGAACATGGAAGGGGCAGGAAGCGCTGCCGGGCAGGCTGGGGTCCGGGCCGGGAGGAAGAGGACGGGCCACAGGCGGGTCCTTAGGCTTAGCCAGTGGACATGACAGCTCCCCAATTCCACAACCTCCTGGTCTACGAGCTGGCTGGCCCCTCTGAAGCCTTGCCCCGTCCCCTGTCCAGCTGAAAGATGGCACATACCCTGCCCTTCCCCCTCAAAGGTAGAGGCCCAGTTGTGCCTGCCTTGGGCACGGTGCCTCTGTTAAGAGTAACCCCCCACAGTGCCCTGGCATTGAGCCCGTGTGCGTGGACCTGGGTGACTGGGAGGCTACAGCGCGGGCACTGGGCAGCGTGGGGCCGGTAGACCTGCTGGTGAACAATGCCGCCGTGGCCGTGTTGCAGCCTTTCCTGGAGGTCACCAAGGAGGCCTGTGACAGGTGAGCCAGCTGCAGGAGCCCTGGGGGTGTGGCAGGTGGAGCCCTGAGGCAGGCCCCAACCAGGATCCCTCCACGTCCCACAGGTCCTTCGATGTGAACCTACGTGCAGTCATCCAGGTGTCCCAGGTGAGCTGTCCTGCAGGTGGGAGAAGGTATGCGGGTGCCCCACGTGGGCCTCACCTCCTGTACCACTCCAGATCGTGGCCCGTGGCCTGATTGCCCGGGGAGCCACAGGGTCCATTGTCAACGTCTCCAGCCAAGCCTCCCAGCGTGCCCTGACCAACCACACGGTCTACTGTGAGTGTCACTGGACTCTGGTCTGCCCCACCCCCGACATCGCCCTGGCACCCCTGATCCCTTGCCGCCCCCTGCCAGGTCTGCTGTGAATGACCCTGGTTGCTGGTGTCCAGGCCCCCACCCCCAGTCTGCAGGGTTTCCTGTGAATGAGCCCTGGGCACTGGTGCCCCTGGCCTCAGCGTTGGGCTCCATGGCCTCCCCTGCTGGGCCCTGGCTCCCTGGTTCACAGCAATGGGCCCCATGATCTTCCCAGCTGCGCCCTGACTGTCCCCAGCCTGCCATGCCCCTACTCTCCACAGGCTCCACCAAGGGTGCCATGGACATGCTGACCAAGGTGATGGCCCTGGAGCTTGGGCCACATAAGGTGAGCCAGGGCTCCCCCCAGCGCCCTCTGCTGGGCCACCTGGCACCCCTGCCTTGCTGACCCACTTGTTCCACACAGATCCGGGTCAATGCAGTGAACCCCACAGTGGTGATGACTCCCATGGGTCAGGTCAACTGGAGTGACCCCCAGAAGGCCAAAGCCATGCTGGACCGCATCCCTCTGGGCCAGTTTGCTGGTAAGGGGGTGGCAAGGACAGCCCCTTGGCCTCAGGGAGCTGGATGGGAAGAAGGACCCCTGACAGCCCTTCATCTGCCTGTCCCTATCCCAGAAGTGGAGCACGTGGTGGACAGCATCCTCTTCCTGCTGAGTGAACGCAGCAGCATGACCACGGGCTCCACCCTGCCAGTGGACGGGGGCTTCTTGGCTGCCTGAGCCTGTGCCCGCCAGCTCCCCCCAATAATAAACACCCTCTGCTCACCGGTCATGTCCTACTTCCTAGCGCCCCGCAGTGCCTTCAAGGGAATAGGACGAACCTTCACAGGGAGGCACCCTGGCTAAGGAGACACCTGAGCCCACCCCCAGCAGAGGCTGGGAGTCAGTGCTTTTCAGAGGTTTACCGCTGGCTATGGGAGGGAGGGGGTTTGGGCAAACATGACCTTTGCCTTGTCCGGATCTCCAGGTGGACCGGGTGGAGTGCTTCTGAGAGTCCCACAGACACGCCCCATGAGCCTGGCTCAGATGCCTCCAAGTTAAGAACAAGGGAGAGCAACTGTGTCTGGATCACGGTCATTTGTCAGTGACCATGCTCAGTCTCGGTGATCCATCACGGCTTGGGGATGCCAACAGAGCTTTGGTCAGTTTTGTGTGCTATTTACAATGCAATGGCCCAACCTGACATACCCAGGACTAATCTGAACGACCAATACAGTCACGCCGACATCATGCACAGAACCAGAGACCAAGCCCCAGCCGGTGTGTTTGCCAGTTCCTGCCTGCAAGCCCTGGGGTTGTGTGTGACATCACTCCCCAATGGCTGTCCCTGAAGGTGGGCTGGGGAGATGTGCAGGAGCTATTGTTGTGGGCTCTCTCCTGTGCAGACACCAGACACGGTGGCCTCCTGCGCCTGCGGTGATGACCACAGACACAGGAGGGTGTGCGCGCTGCTGGGCTTTATTATCTCCGCAGGACTAGGTCATCCCCTGTGAACCGTGGCTGCGGAACCACTAGCTAGCACCACTCCGGACAACTGCATGGCCAGCGCCCGAGCCAATACCCGAGCCAATACGAGCTGAATCCAGCTTGAACACGATCCAATCACGTGACTGTGTACAGGGATGCCCAGTGACCTCAGGAGGAAGGCGAAGCCCCAACCCTATCTCCCCTCTCCCCGAGCAACCCCTCCCAGGCTGACACCAGCCCACCCCATTCTTCCTGCAGCAAGGCCTGGCTGTGTGTCGGCCCACTAAACTTGGGCTTGAGAGTAGCCACCTTGCCCTGGGGCCCAGCTCTAGGAGTACAAACACCACTACTCCTGCTGGGAGCTGAGCTGTCCCTGGGGAAACAGGCAGCCCCCCCCAAGGTTTGCTCCTTCCCTTGCCTAGTATATGGGGGCAAGTCAGAGACACCTCTGCAGGGGATTCGAGCCCAAGATGTGCACGGTGGATGTCCTAGACCCCTTGTACCTCCTTGGCTGGGGGGTGGGGGCAGACAGTGAGGCCGAAGGCAGATGGTGGTAGTGGAGAGCATTTATTATACAAAATCAGGGCAGCCCCTCCCAAGCAGGATGAGCAGACTCCAAGCCCCAGCCTCCCCACAGGAATGTAGCCACTCTGAGGCTGCCCTAGACCCTCCCCTGCAGCCCTGAGGGAGACCCTGCTCCCTCCCTCCCTCCCTCCCAGCCTGGGGGGATGGAGAAGGCTAAACCCTACACCCTCCAAGAGGAGACCTGGAGCCCTGGCCCTCTGGGTGGCCTCATCCCCATGCGCCCCCCCCTCTTCCCGCCCCCCCCACCCGCAGACTCAGGGACACTACACACTTGAACACAACAGCAGACCCTGCTGCCTGAGGGGCTGCTCCCCGCCACCTGCCCGGCCAAGGTGGGCTCTAGAAGAGCGTGCACTTCTTGCCAGGCTTCTTGACGGGGGGCGGGCAGAGCACAGCGCGAATGGCTTCATCGAACACTGTCTTCAGGCCCCGCTGGGTCAGCGCTGAGCACTCTAGGTACTTGACGGAACCTGGGGTCGTGAGGGGCAGAGAGGATGGGTCCATGAGCCTCAGCCAGGGGTGTCTCCCTGTCCTGGCTGGCCCCCATGCAGCTCACCAATCTCGCGCGCCATGGCCAGGCCCTGTGGGTAGGTGATGGGTGCCAGTTTCTTGTCCCGCAGCCTCTCGACGGCGTCCTTGTCATCCCGCAGGTCCAGCTTGGTGCCCACCAGGAGGATGGGGGTGTGGGGGCAGTGGTGCCGCACCTCTGGGTACCACTGTGGGGGCATAATAGACTGATCAGGGCCATCTCCCCACTGGCCTGAGCACCCACCACCCCTTCCAGCCTCCGTGGTCTGCTGGGGAAGGGGGCGGGGAGGAGATAAGCAGCCAGAAGACCCAGGCTTATCCTGGCCTCACAGTGGGGGCTGTGGGCTGGCCCAGAGGCCCTCCATCCTGAGAACCCTGCTGGATGCCCCTCCCTGTCCTGCAGACTCCACACCAAAAGGGTCCACAGGAAAGAATGCCCTATGCTTTTCACTACACCAGGGCCAGTCTCTGGCTACCTCCTCCTGTGGGTGACACCCCTACTCTGCCCTGCCAGGGTACCCCTTTCCCATGGGTGCCACCCCAACACCCTCCACCCCCGTGAACCTCAGCCCTGCCCACCTTGGCACGGACGTTCTCAAAGGATGCCGGGCTCACCAGGGAGAAGCAGATCAGAAAGACATCCTGGGTGGGGGAGGGGGCCAGGTAAATACCCACAGGGGCATCCCAATGACCCAGTCCCCAGCCCCCAGCTTGGGGGACCCTGGTGGGCAGGGGCACCTACAGTCTGGGGATAGGAGAGAGGCCGCAGCCTGTCGTAGTCCTCCTGGCCCGCAGTGTCCCACAGTCCCAGGTTGACTGGCTTCCCATCCACCATCACATTGGCAGAGTAGTTGTCGAAGCTGGGGGCACAGGAAGGTCAGGGCGGGAGTGGCAGGCTACATCGCAACCCCCCACCCGGCAGCCGCCCCTTGCCCGCACGCGGGGCTCACACGGTGGGGATATACTCCCCGGGGAAGGCGTTCGTGGTGTAGCTAATCAGCAGGCAGGTCTTCCCGACGGCGCTGCGGACACACGGACAAGCCACGTGGCTGCCTGTGGGCCCTCCATCAGCACCAGCGGCAGCCGGCTCCCAGCCTCCACAGGCTGGGCTTCCGTGTGGCTGGAGGCCGGGGTCCCAGGCAGCAGACCCGCGGCGATCTAGGGCTGGCGGAGGAGGCCCGGGGCCGGCGGGTCCACGAGGGGCGGGGTGGTGGGTGCGGCGCAGGCACCGGCACCCCGCGAGGGAGAGTGGGGGCTATAGGCCAGGAGGGGAGTGGGGCACCGGAGGAGGGTCCACTCAGGGGAGAGGCCTGGCCGCACCCACGCGGACGATGGGCTGGCAGCTCGGGCGCGGAGCCCACCTCGCCCTGCGCACCGGCTCTGGCAGCCCGGCGGGCAATGGTGGCCTTGGAGGGCCGCAGCA